GGGAAAAATTGAAAAACAAGAGTAACCTAGAAGAATTTGATCCAGAATCTAAATTATCTAAAGAGAATCTTATCCAAAATTTGGGAGATCATGAAGTATCTTATAAAGATCCATTTATTATAAAATTTAAGGATGATATTAATATGAAAATTGAGAAAACCACTAAAAGAATATTGGATCTAGAAATAAATATGAGGAACAAGGATATGAATCAATCTGAAAAGGAAGAGCTGAAAGAAAATTTTAAATTCAAGGACTTTGTAGAAATCCCTGGATCTGGAAATGATTGGGTGATGGATTTGGAAATGATTGGGTGATTGATCAAGGATTACTTAATTGGAATTTTGATACATATGGAATCATTTGTCGGGCTAGCGGCGTTAAACCAACCGCTTTATGGGAGGCAACCAATAGTTATCAGTGTGGTTTGATTTAGTATGCTTAAGAGTCATGATTGTTAGTGTTGTATTGTGTTTGCTTTAGTGTAGATTGATCATTTTGATTGATGATTGATGGATGCTTAGATTGGTAGTGCTTTGATTTGATATTTGTATGTGTCACGAGGGAGATGATTCTTTAACTTCTTATTATGGTTAGACATGTATTTTCTCTTGTAGTAGTTGGATTGACGAGTTCACTACAATTTGGGTCTAACCTGGACGTGAGTTTTAGAAGATATATTATGAATTTATCAGTGACAATTCCATCTCAATTTTGATACTTTCTTTCTTTGACCTTATTTTCATTTGGTAGGAGTAGCTAACCTATTTGATGAGAGACATGAGGATGAATTTACACTATGTTTATAACTACTAGAGGTGCTTAATTATTGGGATATGGTGATGCCTAGTGTTGGTGCTCGAGAGCCAATATGTCAGGGATAATCTTATCATTGGGATTAGAATATATAAAATCATTTATAAGTACCCAATATACTTGTGTAGTGATTCTGTTAGAAATTGGAAGTAAGTTAGCGAGATGTGATGAGTTAAAGAAAGAATTGGCCTCATTTATTATGTGTGTTTGTGTTTGTGTTACAATAATATATAGGACATGAAGAACATTTTTATATTCCAATGCTGATACATGTTATGCTAGTTAGACTTTTGTTTAGTTAATTTCATTCTGACATGTTTAGTTTAGATTTACTTTCTGCTACATGTTTTTTATCCTGATAAATAATTGTAGATATTTTTGATAGATATTTTTGGTAGATAAAATTTCTAAATTGTTTTTCTTCGTACTTTTATTTTTTGCACTAAATACTATACATGTTAAAAATCAAGTTTGGGGGTAGGATGAAAAATAGATTTTAAAGCTAAGTATAATTCCTTTTAGTTTAGTATTATTGCATGCATGTTTTAGGCTAGATTTATTTTCTCCTACATTCATTTTATCCTGATTATGAATGTATATGAATTTGATAGGATGTTGTAGTAGTTAGTAGATTCAACTTTTACTTTTTCTTCAAGCTAAATTTTATGGAATTGATTGCCAAATATTTTAAATTTTAAGTTTGGGGGGAAGAAAAATTTCCTTAAAAGAATGAAACTAAATTTTATTTGTCCTCAATCAGCTATATTTTAATATTTTAATTTAACATGACCTTATTAGAGACTAACTTTTGATAACTATATTTGTGTTTCTAAATATGTAGTAGACTTAAGTAAAAGTTTTCAATAATGAAGGTTGATTCTAGAGTTAAGATATTTGGTACGAAAGAATAAGCCTATGCTTTTTCTATTTAAAGTAAAGGAAATTATATTTTTGAAGTATTAAGGATCTTAGAGTTTCATGTAAGAAGAAAAAAATGAGGCTTTATGAAAAATATTCAAAGCTAATATGAATTTATAAAGTGAAGGAATGTGAAAAATTTTTAACTTTAAGAAGAGGATAATGAAGTTCAAAACTATTAAATGCTATCTAGATATATTAATCCTCACCTAAAAAACAAAAAAAAAATGGATTAAAAATGATCCTAAAAGAAAAAAAAAAGAAAAGAAAAAGAAAAAGAAAAGAAAAGTATGTGTGGAGAAGCTTGATGAGATGTCTAATAAAAAATTGGCTTCACTTGAATCAACTTGAGGAAGAAGGTTTTATTACATTTTCTAAATTTGTATTTGAGTGTTAGCATTCTTACTAGTAAAGATCTCATGAAGTTCTTTTCATATGGATACTCTAAGTGACTTTAATATGACAAATTATAATTCTTCTTGAAATGAATGGAGAATAAAAAATCTTAAACTTGACTACTAAAGTATTCTTACACTTTTAGTTTAACTTAAGTTGTTAAAAAATTTTCTTAAGTTGTGCTATTATATTTAGTAGACCAAATTATAGAAATTTAGAAGTTAAAATCTGTGTCAAAAGTTATATTTTTATATAGTAAAAGTGTTACTTGAGGACAATTAACGTTTAAATTTGGGGGATTTTGATATGCCTAAAAAATGACTACATTTATATATATATTTTATGCTCAATTTTAATAATTTTTAATGATATTACACTTTAAAGGAATGCATTTTGTATATTTTTGATTTCAGGGACAAGAAATGGAGTTTTGGAAAAAAAAAAGCAAAAAATGATGCAATTTGGAGCAAAAACAAGCAAGGCAAAAACGAGCAAGAAAGAAAAGTCTGTTTTGACACATTTTGATATGCCTTTCTATGCTTAATATTTTTTACACTTCTCACACTTTTTTGAATGAAATCACACTTTAAAGGAAGGTTGTTTTTTATGCTTATTTGTAGGTCTATCTGTTAGGAACGCAACGCAATTGAAATGAGGCAAAACAGAGTGACGAAATGAAGTTAAAATGGGGCAAAACGAAGCAAAATGGTGGAGCTGCGCAGGGTGGGCGCCGACGGCGCCAGAACCGGGGCCGACAACGCTGGAACCGGCGCCGACAACGCCAGAGCGCAGAAAACGATGACGATAGGGCCCAAGACAGTTTGGACACGACCTTCGGCGAATTTCTAGAAGATTTAATGTATTTGGAAGCTTTTTTAAAAGTTGCTTGAGGCATCTCTTGAGAAATTCGCCCCTAAACTATAATAGGGTGCTTTTATGTTAGAAAAAGTGGTTCGTGTGGGTGGGAAAATGTGGAGAATGTTTAGAGATCTTAGAATAGGAGAAAAAATGTAGATTTCTATCTTTTTGGAGAGATTGTTGATGGGATTTTGGGAGTATCTGTAAGGAAAGGTTCTAGCATTGCATGGATCAGCGGGAGACTTTGTGGGAGAGATTTTCATCTTTCTTTCAAGGGAAAAAAACTAAATATTGTGTTCTTCATTATCTTATGATTTTGTAAACACTTATCTAGTGGATTTACTTTGATTTAATGAAGTTTTTTGGTTGTGTTTTCTTCGTGCTTTGTGATGTGTTTTTCTTACTATTTTTTTTTTTGAAATAGTGGCAAAAGAAGATTATGTCGTTATTTTCCCTTTATTTTTCTTTTGCAATGAGTATGATTCATGTTTAGGATATTGAGATGCATGCTAGAAAAAATTTTAATTATAAATTATGATGGTTTTTCAACTCTGCTCTTAATTTACTTTTCAATCTGGTCAATTGAATTGTTAAAATATGCTGTGAAACCTGTGAAACAGTTAAAATATGCTGTGAAACATATGATCCAGGAAATGGAGTATGAGTTTTACGATAGAGTAAGTATCACATTTAAGTCCATGAAAGAGTATTTCATTCATGGGATTAAGTGCAAATAAATAGGAAAATATACATTGATGGGTGTAGAATTAGAGATTTCTAGGGTGACATACTAAAAATCTCCAATTCGATCTTAGTGTTTAAAAACAAAAGCGAGAGTTAGCCTTTAAGAGAAGGGAAGTGAGAGCCAATATCCTCCTAGCCTAGCCACAGATTTAGGGACTAAACCTAAGTTTAGCCAATGATCAATGATTTTCTATAACACTGAATCTGAATTAGAGTAGAGAATTAAAATTGCTCATATTTGACACATACAATATTTAACGTGTCTCATTCCCTTACATTATCCAATTCGTTACAAAAGAATAATAGTTTTTAACATCTTAAAGTTCTCCAAACCAACTCATTCAAAAAGGGTTATTTTTAGAATTAAAATTTACATTTAGGAATAATTAATATCCTTAGATTTAACATTCACATTTAGGAGTAGTTGTTAGATAAAACACAATTTTAATCAACATTCCAAACTAAAAATTAATAGTAGTAGACTGGAATTTGACTAAGGACATCATTCCTCGCTTCCTCGTTGAGACTTGTTGGTTATGCAAATAAGTCTCATGAAATGGATCCAACAAATATGGATTTAAAAGGCACAAACCAACAAGTATGGAACCTATTGGTTATACAAATAATTATGCACATCGAGACATGAGATGGCAGACAATGGATTTTTTCAATGTTGTAAAAGCTGGTGTTATCATTTAAGAGTGAGAGGTCTCACTCTAATATGTGATCAATGGGCAAGTGTCAACTCAGTTAATTATTATTATTATTGTAATCGTAGGTGGCTCAACAATTGGCACAACATCAAATAATATAGGAAGATCTACAAATCCTTATATTTGGCGTTTTATGAAGTTTAAGTTGTTTGCATAGTGATGATACTAATATGAATACATATTGAATGACTTATTTGTGTCTACACATAATTGCTAACATTAAGATAATTTGACAGCTTTACTGAATTAAAATCACAATCATATCATGTTTTTTGGCTCGAGGTGCATCAATAAGAACTATTTAATAAATTGAAAGAGATGCCAATTAGAGGAGTCAATACAACCTACAAAAGGGATGTTAGTACGAGGAATGCGAGCTTAGATAGACACCAATTGATTATTTAGCATGAACTAACAATTGCCATGGGCATAGTATTATAAGCCCTAGTCCACTTTTGTTACTTATCATAAAGTCACTTATTTTATTATATTTTTATGAAGAGCTTAATTTATAAATAATTGAGCTTACAACCCAATCTCCAAAATCGCATTCGATAGGCTGAGTCCCGCCCAAACCCAACTCCTCAACCGGAAACCTAAAACCCTGTACCCCTCATCCCCTCCGTCAGCCTACTCGTCGGAAACTCGGGTCTTATGGCGCTGTCCCTACTATCGCCGGTGCGATTCCCTTTTCTGTCCCCTCCCGTCTTTATTGTTCAACGGCCAACCGCGGTCACCTCTACCGCCGCAGTTGCAGAGAGGAAGGGACGAAGAAAGGGTAGGCAGCCAAGACCGGAAGATCCTTCTCCCTCCTCAACTGTGGAGAAGGGCTTGAGATTCAATTTTATGGAGGAGTTGATGGATCGAGCCAGGAGCCTCGACTCAGCCGGCGCGGCAGACGTCATCCATGATATGGTCGCTGCTGGGCTTAGCCCCGGGCCCCGGTCCTTTCACGGCCTCATCGTTTCTCACACCCTCAATGGCGACGTAGAGGGCGCGGTAATATCCTGTTTGATTTTTCGGAGCGGCATTTGCATCTTTGTAGTTGCCGTGTGGCTGCAAGCAGGATTTAACGTTAGTTTTCTGCAACCCGCTTTTATGTTAAATAGGACTTATCAAATCCAGTAAATCTGTATCCATCAAGCCCCGTGTGACTTAGATAGAGCTTGAGAGCTATGACGGAGTAAATATCTTAAATCCCTGCCCTGCAATCGGATTTAGTAAATCTCGATTTACGCAGTAAAAGAAATTGGAGTGCGAGAAACATAGACAAAACCTTATAAATTTTGATTTAAAAGAGCTTGGATTTAATTTTCATTTGTTTGATGTTTTTTTGGATTACCTTAAATCCGTGCCTAAATCCTATTAAAACTATGCCACCAAACACTCCATTAGTAATCCCCGAATCCATAAATCCATGAATTCACTCGTCCCTTGGATTCAGAAAATCTAGATTTAGGCTGAATCTAAGACAAAATTGGACTTATTAAATTCAAAAATTCATAGATCCATGAAACTACTGCATTTTGCCATTTGGTTGGATTTGTTGGGCGGGATGTTATTAAATCACGAAAATAGATTCTAGAGACCTGAAGCAAAACTTTGAATCTAAGCACACAAAACTAGAAAACATAGAAAAAAATCATATTTAACGTGAAAAAACCCGAGAATAAGAAAAAATCATAGAGTTACAAAAAAAAAAAAAGACCTCTATGGCAAAAAAATGAGAAGAATCATATAAACGACGCTATACTCAAGCTTTCCTGCACTTTTGGAACTCAAGAACACTCCCTTTGTCTCCCTCGCACAAGTGAATATCGAAACCCCATGCCCCTCCATCTGCAAAACCAAAATTTTAAGTGAAAATGACCCAAAGTCGGTTGCTGGGGTTGGTGTGCCACGATAGTGCGCTGGGGGTGCTGCGACGCTCCAAAGGGGTGCTGCATCTGAGCGCTATAGTGGCTTGCTATTTCGTTTTGAATATGTACTGGGCGCTGTCTTTAGGATGTTAGGGTGTCGATCAGCGTTGGGACGCTTTTGGCTAGGTGCTGAGATGTTGCACACAAAATTTTTTTCAAGGGGCAGTGCCCTCAAACCCATGCAGGGGAGACACTATGCAATGTCGTGCTCTTGGCTTCAAATATTATTTACAATGCAAAAATTTTAGTTATTGGGATAACAATGCATTGAACAAGTAACATTGTTATGAAAATCATATTTACATTGTGAAAATATTCATATCTTCATACCTAAAGTTATGTGAAGCTTGAGTTTCAACTCGTCTCTCAAAAAGTACCAATTTCTTATTATTGCCTACACTATATTCAACTACAAAAAAATTTCAGAAGCCAAATGTTTGAAATTGTATTATCGGGTATTAAGGCATTTACTTTTCAGGAGGTGAGGTGTAAGCCTGTAAATTAAGCAATTAAATTAATTTAAAACAGGTAAAATAAAGCATTTGAGAGCAATTCTTCTTTATATCCATTAATAAATAACATTAAAATATTTGAGCTTCCTAATAAAATATTTTAGAGTAATAAAAAACATCAATGCAACATCATAAAAAGCCATATAAGCACTCAATAATAGACAACATAGCTAAATAATGAAATAATTAAGAACAAGAAGTTTAAAATGAACAAGTAAACGTGTTTAAATAAAGTAGTTTAAATTTAGGACTTTCCATTCAAGTGTTTCCCACTCCGAGTATGTAGAGAGTATTAATTATAATTATCATTGTAGTTAATTGTTTTCTCGTGCTCATCATTCTGACTTGTATCAACATCTTGCTAATATTCTTCGTCATTTTCAATCTCAATCATCATTGTCTTTATAAATTAATAAAAAACAATAATAATATTATTTAAAATAATAACTATATTGATCATAATCTATATTATATAAAAACTTATACTAACATTTTTGTAGTTACTTTTTTGTTGATTTTTGTGGCTCTTATTTATTCTTTTATCAAAAAAATCAATATTGAGATCTCCTTTTTATAATTTATGACGCTACTTGAGCTTTGGGTTGTTGAGTAAAAAATTCTCAACACTTTCTAAAGCTTGAAATAGATTCAAGCTTTGCACCATACGATATAAGAAGGCCAAGGCAGAACCTTATGGTGCTCCAACTAAGCAGCCAAAAATAGGTGATAGAAAGGGTGAGTTAGAGAAAAAGCAAAACCTTAGGATGCTCTCGACTAAGCAACCAATAGAAAGGGCGTGTGTGTGTGTGAGAGAGAGAGAGAGAGAGAGAGAGAGAGGTGCAAAACCTTAAAAGGAAGGGAGGAAGTCTTGGATTTTTATAAAAGGAAAAAGGTTTATACCAACGGCTTGTAAAATACACCATTCAATCATCTTAGAGTGCTCCTTATCGAAAATTACTCAAACACGAACACGACATCCTTTTTATAAATGTTAATGTTCTTAGCGTGGTGTGAGTGAACAACTAAATTTTGTTAAAAACCATAGAACTTGTTGTGATGGTGATGTTTGGCTGGTTTAATAGACTTACCTCATCTCCCAATTCAATCATCATATGGTGTAGGTGAACAACTAAATTTTGTAAAAACCATAGAACTTGTTGTGATGGTGATGTTTGGCTGCTTTTATAGACTAACTTTATCTACCAATTCAATCATCATATAGTGTTGTTTGATTCTTTGTTATCTCCACCATTATGTTATTTGGATAACAACTTTCAGTGTTTGGTTTGATTCTATCCTGACAATTGAGATAATCTTAATAACTTTAGGACTATAGGTCAACATATTCCAAATAGAATATGAATTGGTTGCTATCCGGAATACATCAATCTTGGTGAATGGTGACTAAAATAAGGAGAGAAAAAAAGGTCTAGTCACACTGTTGGTCTATCCTAACGATAATTGTATTGAACAAAAAAAACTGACATTTATATAGTCATCGACATTTAGATAACCTTGCTATTTAGATAGCACTGCGTCTGAATAGCATTGATCAAAACCATGTGCATATTGACATATTTATTTTTTCCGTTTCCTTGATTTGGGGACCTTTTGGTCTTGTTAGTCTTATTTGTTTTTATACATTAAATTGAATTCAAATTGATGTTTTGTTCACTAGAAGTCTTGGTGAAAGTTAATGAGGTCTTCAATAAAAAATGAATTATGTGACAATGCAGATGATGCTTGCTCATTTCCTGTTAATGTGGTACGCTTTAATATGCTGAATCATATTATGTGCTATTCAGCAGATTTCTTTTTACACATTCATAATGGTTGAGTTCGTTACTTAGCTTGCTGCATATTGTGCCTTTAATTTCCTAAAATTTGATGGCAATTATGATGATTGTAAAATTTTCATTTCTCTGAACATTAAAATTTCACTACTTTTCTCATCTATATTCAAAAGCTATGCTCTGATTCTGTATTAATTCATGTAGTTCAGATGCAGTCATTGAGAAGAGAGCTGAGTTCAGGGCTTCGTCCTCTGCATGAAACATTTGTTGCTATGGTTCGTTTATTTGGTTCTCAAGGTCTTGCAACCAGGGGCTTAGAGATGCTCGTGGCAATGGAAAAGTTAAATTTTGATATTCGAAATGCTTGGCTAGTTCTAGTGGGTATGTGGTTTTATTAGTCAGTTTCAAACCATTAATTTATTTCAAGGTGGTTGAAAAGTTTTTAAAACGCAGAGGAGTTGGTCAGGAACCATTATCTGGATGATGCAAATGCTGTATTTTTGAAGGGAGCAAATGGCGGATTAAGAGCTACTGATGAACTCTATGATTTATTAATTGAGGAAGATTGCAAAGCTGGGGACCATTCAAATGCTTTAACCATTGCATATGAGATGGAGGCTGCAGGAAGAATGGCAACCACCTTCCATTTTAATTGCCTTCTTAGTGTACAGGTAAGATCAACGCTGCGAAGAACTTTTCACGAAGAATATTTTTAGTGAGCCAAATTATGCCATGCTAGGCATAGGCAGACGTTCTTGCATTGCCTTCTTGCATTGTCTTCTTAGCGCACAAGTAACATCAATGCTTCTAAGAATATTTTTAGTGAGCCAAATTATGCCATGCCAGGCATAGGCAGACGTTCTTGCATTAGTTATTAGCCTGACAACTTTATTACATTACTAATTGAAATATTTCTTCTATTTATTTCTGGGTGTTTTTTTAATTTTTTCTTTTTATGTTTGAGTTATAAAGTATAAATTTTATTGATAAAATCATATTAAATATAGTTTACTTCTGAAGAGGAAGAGGTTTGAATATACCGAGGTTGGCCTTGAGCTTACTATCTCTGAGAGGGTTTCTGTTTTGGTGTATAAAATTTTATTGGACAATGTAACTTATGGTTATTAATTAGAATTTTTCAATTAGGCTGAGTCAGATCATATTCTCTGATAAAATAAACTAATGTTCATAAAAGTAGAATAATGAAACCATAAAATGATGGTCGGGTCTATTTTCATTTCCCATACGTTCATTCTAAGTTACGAGTACAATCTCTCTCCTTAATCCAAATTGTTGTAGGCGGTTCCAAATAGGAAACCATCATAATTAATCTTTGCAGAGCTTATAGACTATACTAAAGCAAAAGTTCTCACTTGCAATTGATATGGGTAATTAATCATGGGGCTTCATGCCTTTTGAAAGCCTTGAATTAGGAAAAATGTTTTCTATGTGCTAAAAAAAATGGTTTAGTGCTTTATTTGCTATCCAGCCTACCTCCCGAGATATCAACTCAGATAATACTTGGGTATCTAGAAAATTTTAGAGCCCTTAGATTTTTAGCAACTATGTTGGAAAAGATTTGTCTTTCCATCTCTAGCTTATTGTTGCGGCTCTACTGGATGTTGAGTGCTCTCAATTTGTGTTCACCATTGGTTTTTCTATATGTGAAACACGTTACGTGGGAATCACAGGGATTCCACTTAATTGTAGTTGTCACTTAAAATCATTTTGTTTCTTACCACATTTTCGGGGAGTTTTTCTCTTTTGTTGTTAGGCTAGCTAGGTCTTTTAAATATCCTTGGTCAACATTGAGTTTTTTAAAATATTCTCCAATCTTTAGTTTTGTATTTTGTGTTTTCACGCCTCTTCTAATAGTTTCCAATCTTTGCTTTTCTTTTTGGGAGTGAGGGTGTAGAGGCTATCAGGTGAATCGGGTAATCTCACTTAGCTCATGAATAATTAAATCATCTGTTTAGAAGAGTGTATGAACTACAAGACATTTATAGAAAAATGACTAGATAAACAACACTCAAACCTTATTTATCTATGAACTACAAAATGGCTCTAAAAAAACTAAAAGACGAGTCTTGTTGTGCTGTAAACAACACTCAAACATTTTTTATCATTAAGACAATATAAGCATATTGTTGTTTATATAGATTTTTCTTGTTGTTTATGAGACATGTCTTTCCTTGCTAATTGAGTTTTTATTAGGAACTTGTGATCTAATTTTATTTTCCATCTAATAAGTGTTTTGATAGCGTGTATTGCTGATTAAAAAACTTGTTTCTTAATGATAATTGAGGGAAAGGCTCAATATCAATTTCAGGGTTGTTCTAGTGATTTTTGGTATTAATTTATTGCTTCATCATTGACTTCTTTTTATGTCTAAGTGAATGCTTAGAAATAACCTTTCTTTAGAGAATTCTATCCCAGGATGTTACAGTATATTTGATAATGATGTTGCGATGCAAGTTGGTTGCTTGTCTCTCCAGCTCTTACTAATTACATTCTACATCCTGCAGGCGACTTGTGGAATACCAGAAATTTCTTTTGCCACATTTGAAAACATGGAATATGGGGGGGAAGGTATTCACAATTTTTGAAGATTGTTCTGTGTGCATCTTTGTTAAGGCTTTTGTACTTAAATTTAATACTTCAGCTCCTCAGTTCACTTTTGAATATTTTATTGTGTCCGCCATAAAACCTATGCGGCATCCATACCTTATATTTTCTTGTTTTTAGTTGTGCTTTTAAGATGTTCAAGTTGTATGGTTCATCTTTGGCTTTAATATAATGTGAACATCACCTTGAGTCACTAATGGGATATTAGGAACAAGTTTTTTCTCCCGAGGGAGATCCCTTTTCACCTTAATTAATGATTACTAACCAATAAATTTCCCAAAATATTAAAGCAAGTATTTGGTTATTTATGCACATGCTTTTTATCCAATCATTAGAAAAGTATCAGCTATCTAAAGAAAATGAGTCGATAGTTATAATTTTTATGACAATGTGGTCTCCAAAATGCGATCGCACTTGTATTTATGCAAGGAAATTTATATCTTTTTTTGTAGATAGATTGGATGGTGGATAATGTACTTCTAAAGATTTGATCATCATTAATGGATTTATGTTCCTAGTTTTTGACTTTGAATAAGGAATTCATGAGACTATTTTTGAGAGAGAGAGAGAGAGAGACGGATTTAGGTAAGTCTTTAGAGTCCTTATGGTTCTCCTTCTCAGGCCTCTTCATTTTAACTTTTTTTGTCTCACACCTTTTGATGACATCATGATTGCCGTTGCACACACGTATGGAGAATAAGCTTATATCATATGTGAAACAAGATTATGTTCCTTATATGCCAAGAGAGCATTAAACATTAATTTAAGCTTTTGGTTTATGGCTTTCATTCCACTAGTATGTTGGGCTAGACTAAGACTTGTAGTGTTCCACCCTTACTATCAAATGGTCTTATAATTGATGGTTTGGCTAGGATTAAGTGATTTATGCTATTTGTATCTCCCATAGGTCTTCATTTAAGCAATGTTCAAGAGTAGTTGATTTTCATATCAAATTCAAGTGTTTGATTTGGGCAGATAGATTGTTTAGGTGCATATGAGACTGAAGAGTAGTTTGAGTTTTTAATTCAAATAATAGTTAAATTCTAATTTATTAATATTGACTATTACTCATCATATTATATTTTTGGGTTAGTGAGTATTCATATAATAATATATAGGCTTAATTTGGGTTTCCAATGTTCTACATGCTTAATAACTAGCCTTGGGTTCCTTCCACGACCCCCAATAGATTCAGAGTCGCAAACATATCAATGAGGCAAAATTCACAAAAAAAACTTTTGCTTATAGAGATTTTTCAACCTTATATGATTGGCCAAATTGATTAAAGCCATGACCATTGTGCAAGTTCAGGGTTTTAAAACATGATCTATATGTGGTTTAGTGGCACATTTAGGCAAGAACACTTCGTTTAATGGTATTATAGGTATGCTCCACTTGGTTGCATTTGTTTGACTTGTTTTTTTTGTTAGTCTTGCTCTGTGTTTTTTAGGTGGATAGCTAGATTGGTGCCAGCTTGGAGCATAAAACCGGCCATTGTTATCGAATTTGGTGTTTTAAATCTTCAAATGTATTTTAATTATTTTGTTTGTCTTTTCATTTATTGTGCAGAGATTATCTTTCCAATTTTAGTCTGAGGGATTCACTTCGATCTTTTGTTCAAAGCTAAGTTCTGGTGATACATTTTTTGGCCATCTTTGATGCTGTCCAGGCAGCCTGAGGCATTAGGCATTTGCAAATAGATTGGGCTCTATAAAATTCTAACTCTCCTTTTTTCTTAAAACCATTGTTGCTGTTGTCCTATGAACTCTTTTACTATTCTCTTAGAAATGAAGCCCTCATCTATTATAGTAGGTACTTCAATCAAACAAAATGGTGCAAATTATCTCTCATGATCTCGTGCTTTTCATTTCCTCTTAGAATCATATTTAAAACTCGACCATTCTCAATTTTTAGTATGGAAGGACACTCCTGAATAACCCAAATCACAAACATCTGACTATGCCATTTTTAGATCATGCTTAATAGTTTTGAACCAAGTATTGCATCTACTGAGATGTTTCTCAAAATTTCCAAAGGGATGTGAGAGTTTCCTTGCACCCTCTATTTTCAAGTTTTTTTGCTTCTCACTATTTTTTTTCCTAATCATACTTTTTTTGCCACTAAAATAAGGAGAGGTCATAATTCTTGCAAACGTAATGGTTGTATTGGTAGTTATCAACACTTTCTCACTATGTCAGTACTATTATTGGACAAATCACTCTCATGTTTATTGTTGGGAGAACCTTGGCTACCCTTTTGTTGTTGAAGATTTCTCTAGCCCTGTTATTATTGATCCTGCTGGTGCTTCGTGTAGCTTTGTGATCATTTCTTAAGAGGACTATGATTCTTTTCTACGACACTTAGACACCCATTTTTGCTTTTTGTGTTGTTCTCTTGTCTAACTCATCTAAAATTGCTCATTTGGTGTGTTTTGATTTCTAGTTATGATGCTTCTTCTCATATGAGAAATAATCAGTAATTATTTTCATGCATTATCATGACTTTTATCCAATCAATTATTATCGCGGATATGTTTTTCCCTCCTATTTCACAACATTATACACAATTTATGCCCACTATTTTCTTGCTGAGATTTTGCCTATATACTGTTTAGCCAAATCTTGCAATTGTTCAAAAACCTTTTATCTTTCATATTGTACCTTTCTGAATCTCACCACAAGATGATTGATGGAGCTGTTGAACTAGGTTGCATATATTGTCTCATTGACGCTACTTCTTGTGCCTTGTCATTGAGCTACTAATTTCTTCTTATCAGTGGCACTCGTTTTTGTTACCCTTCTCCATCTTTGAAGTTTTGCTCATGTATATTGTTTTTATTTCAACATTTGAATGCGGCACTTATCACATTGGTATGCATCAAGTTTCTTACCCCTTCTCTTTTACTTCTCATTGTAGTGTCTTCTTGGCTTGAATCACCGAGACATTTAGGGACCTAATCCAGTGCCTATTAATTATTCATTTACGTTTGCCATTTTCTTTTTCATGATAAACACACCAGGGTCATTTAGGTATATTTGTTGAAGTGCCATTATAAAATCTTATCCATTCAAAACTTTTCTATTGCAAATTAAAAAAAAATGCAAATTTTAATTCAACTTTAAACTGATTCCTTTGATATTGCCCTTGAATATATGTCATCTTCTTTTCACTGTTTCTATATTGAAAATGATATCATAAATCAATCATTTATATCTCAACAGAATATAGTTGATGAATGCAAGCATCATGATCTTCTTGGTGTTGCTTCTTAATGTTTAACTTGCGTATTCCTCACACATCCTTTAATATTATAGCAGAGCTACTCTATTCTGTATCCTCATAATTTTTTTTCATCAATCCCTATAATCTTTGGTTGTGTTTGTTTATTTTATTCGTTCAACTACGAGAAACTGCCCTCAGCTATTAGAAATTCTAAAACTGTGTCATTTGGTATTAAAATCAAGTTCTAATCGCAATTCGTAACCATAATCCTAAACCTTCAAAATCTTATATTTTTACCTCCATAAAAAAGTCGTCCTTACACCCTTTACCTGAACCTAAACTTTTGTCCAACTTAGAGCCACAATCTTAATTTAGCCAAAATTTGAAAGTGAAGAGTCAGTCACTATACCACCCTCAAGAAAAAATTCAGAGAGATGTTCAAGAGTTTAACATGGAGGTATATAGCGGAGAATCCTCTAATTGTAATAGAAACTCACTGATTTTGAAAGAAAGCAACATGACAAAGGCATCCTCATCATCAACAATGACAACTTTGATGGAGAATATGAAAAACCTTTTCCCCAAAATGCCTCAAGCGATGAAGAGATGATACCTCATAAGTTTGACTTTAAGTGTTAGGAGAGAGTCTGACTTTGGAGTGATGTTGATTTATCAGATTTCATGCCTTTATGGACTCAAATGAATTCATTGCGTGGCACAAACAGTAAAATGGCTTTAAGTACAAGGATGGTGAATGTGCATGATGATTCAATAATGGTCGATTTACTCGTATGGATCAGTTACCCCTTCGTTGGCATCAATTTTCTGGAGTTTGAAGCTCGTTGGGATAAGGTATCGGAGAACCGTGTTAGCCAAAGGAGAAGATTCTTAAAAGTTGCGGGCAAGCGGGGAAGCATATCTTTTATCTAGAGGGAACCTTCCCTAACCAAACATCATAACTCATCACATATGATATCAACAGAAGCGACAATAAGGCGGCGCGGTGTCAGGTGAGTTGCATGAGACAGATGAGTGGAACTTATGATGACAAGTAGATCAGTGCTTTGTCTCGACGGGGGAATGATTTTATCTCTGTGAGAGAACCCAGTGAGTATTTTCTGTTAAATGTTGAACTGGTGGTAAGTAACCTCCATTGGGTTGCGGTTGTCGCTCCCCGTGTATGAGTTGTAGAATCTCCAGTTGAGATGCCTCCATTCTGCGCACACCATCTTCCATAGAAGTACCAAAAACAGCTTCGTCAATAGGATGACGCTTTTCTAAGTGGGAGGATGTAGAGGCTTGATGCCCTTGGCTTCGTGACTTCTTTTTGGAATGATGGGTGTTGGAGCGAGATGCTTCGCTGTTACGAGTGTTGTGCCTGGTGACCATGTAGTGAGCCTCACAAGTACTTCAATAGTGGAAATGTTCTTTCCCATAGACGACACCATACTGATGTGTGCTTGAAGATTACCAACGGTAGAGTAATGAATTATCATCTTAGCGTTACACAAAAATTCAACACAATCAAATAAAAGAAGACAACCAGTAGAGACACCTGAAGCTTTTACGTGGAAAACTAGTAAAAGAAAAAAGCAACGGGGCATGATCCAGCTGAAGAAATCCATTATAAGTTAGTTATTATAGAGATCCTTTGTCCCACAGGTGGGAAAGTGAGAGTTACAAAATCTTATGAATTACAACGTCGACACATGAACAATCTCATTGCAAAAAACAGACGACGACTGATGATGATCAGTGAGAGCCGACGAGTGGTGGTCGGTGGTGACCAAAGTGATGCTGGACTTTAGCTTCTTCTCAAATCTTCAGCTCTTTCTCAAGCCTCAAGCTTTACTCCCTCTCATGAGAGAGGTGAAACTGTATTTATAGAGTTCTAGGTGCAATTAATGTAGAAATATGAACCGCTTTGATCGGATGACTCAGAAGATTTCTCTTCATCAGACAACATTTGATGGGCATTTGACTTGCTGATGTCAGAATCGAGCGATATTGGGATCGTTATTTTTGTCTTGTCGAGACGCTGAATTCGATTATATACTTGCTATTTTGACATCCGTTTGACCTTCCAAATATGTTTGAAAAGATTCCAAAAGCGGTTTAACATCTTGATCAGGGCTTGATTGGGTTCGGATTGGACCCATTTTGGTGTCATTGGGTTCGTCCTGTCGAACTGGTCAGTTTGACTGTAAGTTTGTCGAAATCGGAGTTTAAATGACTCATAGTCGAAGTCTGAACATTTTTTACTTAAAAAATTGCTTCGAGATATATTTCATGCGTCGAGATCCATGCAGAATGATGAAGATTTGTCAGAGTCGTATCAGTTTTGAATTAATTTATTTCATTGGGTCGTCACCCAACTTATACCTGCACAACTGTTGATAAATATTGGTAATCTTCCAACATAATAATTATCAATAACTCCCATGATATCAACAAATATGTTCCAATATGAATATTCTGGGTCATGAATTCTATAAATTTTCATGCTATCTTTATTTGTGCAGGTTATTATTACAAAAGTGTACCTATAACAAGATTTCTAACATTCATTGATCATTTTATCGGTTAAAGATCATTTTTTATATGCTATGCAATTGTATGTCTGGTAGAATATGGTTTAATGAACATGCCTACTTATCTAATAAAAGTTGTAACATCAGTAAGATCAATAGGGTAAGTTCAAGTTTGCTTTTCTGTAACATATGTAGTCATTCAATAGTATGCAAAAAAATTGACATATAATTTAATTTCAATATATCACATAATAATCCTATAGAAATATATCTTTTAATTTAGCACATGATTATCTAATCAGGATTGACGGGGTAGACCCATGACGAGTTTTTTCAATCTCGTAATAAGCTCGCTGTCTAGGGTACATTACATGCAATTCATAATTCCCTTTATTTCGGAGAATATTTAATTTACCTACTAATTTAATACATTAATAATCTTAAGTAACGCTCCTACCTCAAATAGGTTTCCCCGCATATGAATACAATGCCCACTTTACGATTTCAAAGAAAACCTGCACTCCCCCAGTACTTTACGACAAACCCATGAAATTGAAATCAATTGAATAAATGCTCTTTAAGTTGATTAAAGTAAATGCAAATATTTTTCTGAATATAAATAAGAAATATATTAATACTATACCTCAAAGTACCAATTTCTCCCCTCAAACTTTCCTTTATTTCTCTTCCTCTTTCCTTCCTTTTTCTTCTTTGTTTCCCACCAAAAGCCTTATCCGAGAGTTGTTGGTTAGCCTGCTTTCTTTGCTTTCGTCCCCACCTCTAGCTATAGTGCTGGACCGCGGAAAGCGTATATAAAAAATCCTTTTACCTTAATTCTTCTGAAAGCCCCAAACATGGAAAAACATAAAGCTTATACATACTCTATGCAATAATTTGCCTAACAATTAATCATAGCCATCCACAAGTCCATCATGTCACTGCATGTCGCCGAAAGTGGAATTGCTACAGTGCTGAGTACTGTTAAAAGGATTTAGGATTAGTTAATTAAATACTTAATTAAGTTTAATTAAACTATTATTTTAAATTTTTATAACTCCTAATATATCAATATTTTTACAATTGGATTGATTCAAAATGTAGAATTTTATATAAATAATTTGCATAAATTTCAGAGGATGCGGAAAATTAGATATATTTTAAAATGTTCTGGATTTTATTTGAATTAAACAAAACTGGGTATTACTTGTATAATTTTTACATTGATGTTGGAATGAAATATCCAAGCAATTCTTTCTATTTCTTATTATACAATTAGAGCCATAGCTTTTCTTTTTCTTGGATTTTTATTTCTGCAACTTGCATCACCACATTATCATAATCTTATGGCCTTTTATTATTGCTTTTTCACAGTCCTACATTATTCATTACTAGGCACTCAATTTCCCCCTTTGCTGATTTCATCAATTCATTACCTCAAGTATCTCCTATTATTGTAGCCTTCATTACTGCATTGTGGCAAACTATTCCTATTATTGTAGCATTCAATGCTGCATTGTTGCACTTCTTTCTTTTTCTTTTTTTTTTTTTTGTGAGAAACAAATTTTCACTTTGTTGATACTAATAATAATGCCCACACACTCTGGGTCATGGCTTCACTTGGAATTGAGAAACACCATCTAATAAGAGGACATTAATATACTTAAGAATGGTATGAGAGAGAGTAAATCGTTATGTTGATTATTCTAACTCATGTTTATTAAGTGATAAGAATGATGAAAGTTTTTTAGTTTTAAAATTCTAACTTTAGTGGTTTATAATATTTTTAGTTTAATGGATGAAAGTTAGAGTGTGTGAGAGAATGTCTTTATTGAACTTATGTTGAATTGTTATATTTTATGCCATACTTTGATCTTTGTATAATTATTCTTTTTTTTTATTAAAATTTTGATGTTAATTTGTCACTTTTTTCTTGAACAAGTATTACTTTTATCATATGATAATGTGTTACATTTTAATCAGTTAACAAATTAGGATATTAACATGTTTTTTTGTATTTTATGCTTTAAACTTAGTATAATACTTCTTGTTTTGTAAAATTTGTTGATTCTGAGGCTTGCGCCTCAATTCAACTAGTGGCTTTGTACAGTTAGTTGATTTTGAGGCTTACGCCTCAAATCCCTTGAGGCTCTTGATTGTGGGAGAGTGCTATAATAGGAAAGTGTTGGATTAAATTGATATTTTTTTAATTGTATTATACCTTTGTATCTTTATTTGTCCTATTTGCATGTTTATTGACCCATCAATAATATACTACAAACATTTTCCTATTAAACATCAAGTTGTAGAGGTTTTCTACGAATCACTTTTGACATTATTCTCCTTTCATTCTTTTAATGATCATCCACTTCATCTTACTTAGTGGGTTAAATGCGTGAATACGCTTTGATATTTTTTTTGTGGGTGTGGGATTCTTCACGATCATTACATTTAAAAATTTAACATTTCATTGTTTAGTGCTTGTAATTATTAAGCGTTTGTTGTTTGTGGATTTTGTTGACTAGATGCTTGTTTATCTTACTGATTCATTTCCAATCAAACTACTCCTTATGCAGAGTACATGAAGCCTGATACAGAGAGTTATAACTGGGTGATCCAGGCATACACTCGAGCTGAGTCATATGACAGGCATTCGCTACCACCCGCCACATTTTTTTTTGTTTCTCGTCCTATTACATACTTGCAGTGATTGTCAATTTTTGAAATGATAAGAACTAATAGTTTGTTGTATTGTTTGAAGCAATGCCAAATCATTGATTTATATCAAATTTAAATGTATAATCAAGCTCTAATTTGTTAGATGCTGATAATCAATTCGTATTGAGGGCCTAATTTTTCAATGGAATTGATGTGGATTTTTTCAACTTTATTAACATAAATAAATGTGCGCTATTTTGTTTTCTATATCTATAGATATGCTATCTGAACTTTATCTGCATCCATGTCAAGTTGTCATTCCAATTTAAGTTTAAATTCAAGTTTGGAATCTACTTGTTTATGTCCAAGCAAACTATGCCGCGATTAAGAATTGTTGATAGCTTTGCATTTTCTAAGGCTACGATCTAATGTGAATATTTTTGGCACTATTCTGTAGGGTGCAGGATGTGGTTGAACTACTTGGAATGATGGTTGAAGATCACAAAAGGTTGCAGCCAAACATGAAAACTTACGCGTAAGTAACTTAAATCCTCTCGCGTTGCACACTGATTAGATATTTGTATAATCTTTTTCACTCATAAGTATCACGGTCATATTTTACAATCAGTATTTTCTTATATAGACTTCGGTTTATGAAGCATTGCACATTTTTCATTTGAGAATGAGCTCATAAGTAACACTAAAGTTGATTTACTAGATCTTGAGGCATAGGCAGACATAATTGAACTGGCTCTTTGTATTGATGAGGTAAGACTGCAAACTTCCCATCAGATCCTGTAGTGACAAGAGCTTCATGGATTGGGTGCGTTGGATATGACCATTCTACTTGTGCTTAGTCTGATTGTGGAGGTCATTCTTAATTTTAACTTTTGCCAATTAAAAATACTTTATGTTGGATATTTTTAATGGAGTGTCATTTTTGTCCCAATTTTTATTGTGATTATAATAATGGTTTCAAAGTTATACGATTAAATGGTTTGTGCAACTCTTCCTGTGCTCCATGAACACCTGCCATTAGGGGTGTAAACGAATCGAACACGAACGAACAAAGCTTGTGTTCGTGTTTGGTTCGTTTAAAATTTAGTTTGTTTGAAATAAGCTCGTGTTCGTTTCTTAACGAACGAGCCGAACACGAACCTTCTTAACGAACGAGCCGAACATGAGATGTTCGCGAACGACGAGCCAGTTTGACATCCCTAATATTAATATATATAAATAATATATTATATTAACTATATAACTTATATTATATAAATATATAATATCAATTTTAATATATTACTAATATAGTATATTAGTATATTACTATTATTAATTTATTTTATATTATAATTTATAAAATTTAATTTTTTTAAATATCATAAATTTATTTATATATAATTATTTTAAATTTTTTATATTTCAAACAATAATGATTCAAACACGAACGCATCACTGTTTGTGTTTGGTTCGTTGAACTAACTGAACAAAAAAAGTTTGTTCACGTTCGTCTCATTTACTTATCGACCGAATGACGAACCGAATACAAACTGTTCACGAACAACGAGCTTTTTTGACAGCCCTACCTGCCATGAAAGTAGGACTATAGGTGTGTATCATGCTTTTGTTGTGCTGGCCACAAAGCTATTTTTAAATATGTTAATCAAGAAGGCAATGATGCTTCTTCATTGTTGGTAGCAGAGCTAACCATGCCTGCCACATGACTCCATCTATTTAAGTTGTTTATGCTAAACCTAATATCTTTTAAGCGATGATCTGAATTTATTAGGCTTTGCCGCTCTCTGGACAGGCTTACATCCACATATTAATTGGAAATTGATTAAATTTGATTATGCTAACTCAAGTTTACGGAAATCCATTTATGTTCAAAAAATTTTGAGTAGACCCATTTTTTTATTCTGAAGTTGGTTTTGCTTAGAATATCTAAAACAAAAGCTGATTAAAATGTTTCTGAGTGACGAGCATGTGTCCTACTTTGTTATAAAATATAAATTTTATTTTCAAAATGGCCTGGTGCGTATGCTAACATCTCAGTGCATTTTTTTTAGATGGTCTGTTTTTCTAATTATAGATGGAAAAACCTTCTTGAAACTTTTGAACTTCTTAATTGTCAGCTTCATCCATTGCTATGGCTTATCCAAAATCGTTTCGGCCTATAACCTGCTCCTGGAGATTGTGAGGCAAGGATTGTTTTCCCCCAGCTGTGATATGTCCAAATATTCCAAAAATCAGTGTCAGATGCTAAAACATGTTATTTTTTCATAGATGAAAAACTTTTAGTTAAGTGGTTGTAATAACTATGTTTTGGTATTTGTACGTAATTTAGGGCGCGCGCAAACACAGATAGGCCACAGTTTGCATGTTACTCTCTTTAAATGTTTGCTTCAAATTTGACTTTATGATGATGCTAATTGTTCTTGTACTAACGATTCTTAATTTGCTTAGGTTGCTAGTTGAATGCTTCACCAAATATTGTGTTGTGAGGGAAGCTATACGACATTTCCGTGCTCTTAAAAATTCTCTTGGTGGAACAAAAGTCTTATACAATGATGGGAACTACGGAGATCCGCTTTCACTTTATTTGAGAGCATTATGTCGTGAAGGTATATCTTCCTTTGTGTAACTTAAAATACATAATCGATGTTATGTTAAGTAGTTATCAATTGTTTCATTTATATTTGATAAGAGAAAAGTGTTAAAGTGGTCCTCTAGCTTTTTGCTGGGGCCATGTTAGTCCCAGTATCTTTAAAACTGTCAACTTACTTTTTTGAAGGGTCTAGCATAGTCCTTAATGAAAATTTTCTCAGTTTATATTAAAAGTGTCCGAGGTCAAATTTTATACTTTTATAGACTCTGGGATTAAAATGACCCCATAGAAATAGTTAAGAGATTATTTTGACACTATTTGAAAACTTCTACAATGAGCTTGTTTTTTGTGTCACTTTCATATTTTGAAATAAAAAGTTTGATTATTATTCGAAGATAATTTTGACCGCACCATATATGTTGCAAGTTCATGTTCTTTCGGCCATCTTTTGTACATATGGCCATTTGATCATTATCAAAATTTGTTTAAATAAACTGAGAGAAAATTGAAATATCCCTTGAACATTAATTCTTGGCACTTCATCTCATTTGACTTTTTGCCAAAAACATTTCTAAATCATATGATGATTTTGTATTCTCATTTTGGAGTGCTGGAGCGTTTTATAAATGAATGGTTTGGATGTCTAACGGTTACTTACAGTCCCCAGAGATTTCTACTAAACTAGAATTGTCGCAAGTTAATGGACTGATTAGGCATGTTTTGTGATGAGATAGTACCATTATGAAATTGTTAAAATAGGCAATAAGCTATAACTCTTTCTTGGCGATGAACATGAAATCAATATATAAGTAATTTGGTTGCAGAACACTTACAAAATTTATACGATTATTTAACGTGAAATGAGAGTAAATATAACACTTAGGTAAATATGCCACTTTCCTACTCAAACTCATTCTGTATCAAAATCTCAACTCCATTACCTAATTGCATATAGATTTATAATAAAATATTATTGTCATTAATTAGAAGTCTGATCAGATATATTTCGTGATGAAAGATAGATATCACCTATCTTCAATTTTTAAAGTTTGCATAAATTTTTTAACTATTTTTTGGTGATAATCATGATATTCACATAAAAGTAATTTAGTTTCAGAAGAATTGAAAAATTCTATTGTTATTTTATGTGAAATGTGAGTAAATATGGTACCTAGTAAAAGATGACACTCTCACCCAAACTGCCTTCTGTAATGGAATCTCCACTTGATTACAGGATCACCTTTCATTCACAAGGAATTCCTGTGCTCCATAAATAAAGATATAAGCAAAAAAAATAAAAAAATAAAATAAAATGTACTTGAAGATTTTTTCATCTAGTAGTGTTAAGCTTCTATCAAATATAGGGCATAAAGACTAAAACCGATTGGTTTACTTGGATGCTATTTAATAAGACGTTAGAATATGAGGACGGGCAAAATAGGAATTATTCTAGAATTGCAATTGGTTTCATTGTCAGAAAGATGGACTAAAGATGGAAATTTAGTTTGAGGGATTTTTAAGTGAGAACTTTGCAAGGAAATGTGCCTAAACATGAAAAGAAAAAGTCAAAAAAAGATAATGTAATAATTTTAAAAAGTTATAGTTCTATTAACTTTAAAGAAGCGTATAATGTTGGAGTTTAGCCCTATATGTTTATCCATCAAGATTTTAAGAGTTATATGAGATGTTGGAAATGGTCGGCTAAAAATTTTATTTTTAAGAGAAAGCCAACTGATTAAATAAAGTACCAATAGGGTGCCAAAACTGTTTAGAGAACTATAAAATTTTAGATTTATTTTTAAGAACATGATGATATTCAAGATTTTAATAATTATAGGATAATTAAACTTATTAATCATATCTTGAACTTTAGGAGAGGATGTTGAAAAATAGGCATAAAATGACATCATTTTTGAATGATCAATCTAGTTTTATGTCATATCTTCTGCGAAGGTGATTTTTCTCTTCTATGACAATTAATGTAAAACATATAAATATTCAAAATGATCTTCATTTTGTATTTATTGATCTTGAAAAGACACACGATCACATACTAAGAAAATAGATTTGGTGAGTATTAAATAGAAATGGTGTTCATCAAAGGTATGATGTTGTTGAGTTAAGCCTTTTGCCCTTTGACTTGGATTTCAGGGAATATTGATTCTTTGGAATTATAGGGCGCACAAAGGAATTATTGGAAGCTTTTAAAAAGAAGATTGTTGTGGAATAGATTTATCATTTTAAAACTAAAGACTAAATTTGTACAATCAAAATACATCATGATTTTTATAAATTGTGTCACGACAACATACATTCAATAAGTAGTCAATTCTTCTGTCACGAGGCATGTTTTGCTTGCTTTATTTGATATATAAAAAACAATGTGAACTTTTCATCAGTTCTATGACTCAACAAGTGATGCTCGGATTAGCAATGTTTGGCATATGATGAGCTCTTTCCATTTTGTAAGTGAATTTAAGTAGTAGATTTTGGATCAATGTGGATGCATATTAACTCATACAAAATCATTTTATATACACAATTAATATCATCATCATAAATGTAGAATCTACTTCATTATGTTCACACATCTATTTCTAGGGATCTAGGCTCACACATCAAGATTGTGTTGGCATTTTTTATAAACATGGATATATGCTAATCCAATCCTACTTTCAGCTAGTGATAAAGGTCTTCTTGACCTTAAATAAATGCATAGAGTGCGCATGGTTCCCTTGGAGAAAATAGATGATTTGAGGTCTACATCCTAATATCTACCCAATTTATATAATTTGCACACCACACAGTCCACACATGCCATGTATATTATCTTCTTTCAAATGTTACATATGCACTTTTGCATGGGTGTTCAATACTTATATTCAATAAAACACGTGCAACACAAACTATGTATTATGCAAATCATGAGGTTTCCCTCTAAATACACTAATTTACTTGGCATGGAAACTGATTCAAGACAAATATGCTCAAAATCATTAAAAATATCTCAAAGCGTTGTCATCATGCTAAATTATCATTTAGGAAGCATTAGTTTTTAGTAAACTTGCTCATTGTGGCATATGTATGAATTTCTAAGAATTTAATAATTCAAAACTAGTAAAGCTAAATGACCTACCAAAACTAATTTTGGTAAATAAAAAAGGCAGTGGAGAGATGAGTGAGCCTCTCATATTTTTTTAGAGATTTTTCAGAATATATGAACGCTTTTCTCTTTCTATTTTTTTGCTTGTTATCGGCCGCTTTACCTCGGGGCAAATCATTTATTTAAATATGATTTAATGTATATATATATGTGTGATTATAATTTAGAAAATAATATTTTAATTTTAAAAAGTTAGACCGAGCGGATGTCACACATTTGATAGTTTAGATAGCTGAGCGCGATACCATAAGTTGTACACTATCCCGAAGGATATGCATACAACTTGTTGGTAGGCTTAACTTCCTAAATTAAAAGATCTGTAACGTCCGTTTGGTCTGCGAAACCTTTCTATAAGTCGAAAATTTCCTCTATTTAACATGAAAAGTTAAATAGGGTTTATTTTAAGTTGGGTTCTAAATTTCCCTATAGAGGCAAACCTCTATAGTTAATTACATCTTAAATGACCGAAATCACTTAAGAATACTCTCGATTAAGATCAGTGGTTCTGTTTTCAAGATTGCAAAGTTTAGCTTTCCAAGGATGAATATGAGGAAATCAAGGGAGAAAAACTTAAAATATGAACAATTATTTTCAGGAGTCAATGGAGTGAAAGGTAGGGGATGTCACAGATCCAGGGAGAACCCCGGTGACTTCCCAACTATCCTACGATTAGATGTTGTCTCTAAGGAGACATCCTACACCTCGTCGTCGTGGTCTCGATCGTCGCTCTCCATCCGCTTGCTTCCACGCTCTGCTTCTTGAAAGACTACTCTAACAGATCGATCATAAGTTCAAGGTTATGGTGTATAAAGATGTACAATTATTGGGTCAGTGGCTCGCTACGGGTTACCCTCCTAAACTGGGTGTCCTACTGGCCTCTAACCTAAAAGTCCCCTGCAAATAGTAGTATTACAGTAAATAGTAATATTACATGCTATGAATTATAAAGGGAATATGCTATGAAACGTAGTAAACAATAAATAATAATATTACAGGCATGAATTATGTGTGTACGCAGGAAAGCATGCAATAGCAAAAATAAACGCTGTAAATGTAAAACAAACCTATACACCTGACGGGTCGGCGGCTCCTGAAAAGAATCAAGAAAAAGCGGCAGACAAACCACGACAAATCGAAGAGAACCGTTGAAAACACGAGGAAAACTCAGAGAAAATCACAAGTGTTTTGCGAAGATTTCGATAAAAGCGTAGGGAAACACACAAAAATCCGAAGAAAGGAAGAAAATCGTAAGCATTCGGGTCGGGCTAGACTCAGAATTAGGTATTCTCTAGGGACTTCGAAGCAACTATCAGTCACACGCATGTATAGAGCCCGACATTCAACTAGAAAGTTGTCCTACTATAACACATTTATTGATTTGAGACATAATTTTGCCACATATATTGTGAATGTTAGCCATCTTTTGTGGCACAACTAGGCTACCTGCTATTGGTACAATGCTTCTCAAGCTTTTGTATACTCCAAGTTATATAGGCTTTTGCTTCCCTGTCATTCAATTTCTATGAACCTATATCTCGCTCTTTTGATTGGTGTTACTCTTTGTTTACTTTATGTTACTAAAAAATAATTTTCGAACATGTCTGATTTTCTTTTTTTCCTACTTTGTGTTTTTAGAGTTGTCCATTGTTATCTTTTTTCATATAGGGCTTTAAAATGTCCTCTTTACAATGATATAGTGGCTTTTGTTTTAAGATAATTCGAGTAGGGTTTCATTTTTTGGCCACATTAACAGAGCAAGAATATAATCTTTTATCATTGGCGCAAGTTTCTTACTCTTCTCTTTGGCCTCAACAATGAATTCCAACATTATTCATGGGATTAAATAGTTGTAT